CGGGGTCAAAGGGTGAAATAATAATAAACCTGAAGGACTTGTGAATACAGGAACTCGCGCTGGAGATGCTGTAACGGGCTGTAATCCGCATGGTAGGGGTGCTGCTACTTGGTAGGTGTGCTGCTACATGTACCTGGGCGGGTATACTACCTGGGAGAGGGGGGGTGCTACCTAGGACAGGGTACATGCACTGGAATTTAGCATTATCGAGTGACCCAGGTGCCGTTGATATTCAAGGTGAGGTTGGTTGACAAGTAATGCGTTGTTTTGCAGTTGAAATTCATTACAAAATATTACATAACAGAAAAAACTGTTTGCTGCGGTCTGCTGTGGGGGCTGTTTGCTGCGGTCTGCTGTGGGGGCTGTTTGCTGCGGTCTGCTGTGGGGGCTGTTTGCAGCGGAGAGATCTTGCAGAATATTGAAAGACTTGTCTAAATGTATCTCTCTCTCTCTCTCTCACTTTAATCAAAAAGGAAAACATTAGCTAGGAGGTGTGTAAGGGACTGGTGGACGTGCCCCCCATGGGATGTCTGCAGGGGGGGGGGGGTAGCGTGTTTGTCCGAGCAATGTAACATGAGTAGAATAACATATCGATGATGAAATATAAACGTGCGGTCGACTTTCTTGTCTTTTGGTTTAGGTAATCAGCCACTGCTTCAGTGTTATGATTTCATCGTTATGATTTCCACAAATATGCACTTGCTGTCCATTCAGTGGAAAATATACCAGATTATTTGATTTCATTCACGAAGAGTGCTACGTACTTTCTTACAGAACTTGGCCTGATGCTGGGGTATTTGGTAAAAACTCAACATCGCTGAGTTTATTTCTCCAAAAATCACTTGACGTCGACAACATTGCATAAAATTATTGTATTTGACTAAATCTTCTTGTAAATCTTTTCAGAAACTTGATCCATGGCCAGAGGCGACAGTTAAGCACGATGCAGACAGACGCTACCTGGTGACGTAAAACACAGAACGCAGGCGTAAAAACTAAATATCGAAAATAAAAATGACACCAGCTACCGCAACCTTACAATTTTCAAGAAAATCTCAAACGTTGGAGGAGCTCGACAAGGAGAGGCCGAAATCTCTCGAAGCAGTCCGCGAGATTCTAAGAGAGGCGACGACAGACGTGGAAACCAAGCTAAGTCTCATTGAAGTCAGCCTCATTGGACGCGGAGTAACGTACGCTGACTTCATTCGACCTTACGTGGCGCCCATCGTCTCTTTAATGAAATCCCTGGAAATTTATGAAATTTACAATAAAAAACAAATCGAGGAGATTATCCACCAGGGCATTGAGACCGGAGAGGCGGTGAAGGAGAGTGACCTCCCGGGCTATCACATGCTCAAGGAATGCTATCACAAAATCAAGGAGTATCTTCCGGGAGCCTTCACTGCCATTTTCCTGGAGATAGAAAAGATTTTAGAAAACTTGGACAAATATTGCCGCAGCTTCAGCAAAGCGGAGGAGCGGGAATTCATGGACACGCCGTCACATTATGAGATGAAACGCCAGGAGCTCTGGAAACTTATCCGTGTTAACCTTGATGACATCAAGGACATGATTGGCAGGTATCAGGAAGATGGCGTTGACATTAAGATGTTTGGGATACACGCGCGAGATATCGGACGCGGCTGCGAATGCGAGCGTCTCCCTTTTCTGCTCATGTTCCCGCAAACATGCGTTAACGTCAGGAACGCTTGCAAAGGAATACGACAATGGTTGAAGGCAGACGAGGAATATCCGTCCTATATTAAAGATGACATTATTGATATGGAGAAGAAAATTGAGCATAAGACGCGCGAGGAGAGAGAGAGTCAGATGCGGAGTAGTCAGCTGGAGTATAAAATGAGGCACGTGCAGCAGGAGTGCTCCGTGCTGGAATCAGAACTGAAGAAACTGATAGCGCGCGAAATGGCGTTCAACCAAGACGCTCGTAAACTTGAAAGAGAGATTAATAAACTTGAGTTGGAAATTGGGACGCTGGAGCAAGAGAAAGTCATGTCAAGTAAAGGACTTATTAAAAGTTCACAGCCACCGGAGGCGCTCTCCCGTAAAATTCACGATTTAAAGGAAAAGCACCATGGCCTAGCAACAAAACATTCCCACGTTCAGGCAAAAATAATGCTGGTCGAGAAAAAACGAGAAATGCTCCGAGAGTCCAACGCCAACGCAAGCGCCTTGAGGAGCGCCTCTAGGAAAGCAAGAACGGACCACACAAACGTGGAACACGAGTTGCATACCATGAATGAGAGGCTAGAGGAATTGAAACAAATATACCTCTACAAGACGAGTCATGAAACACCAAAGAAGATATTTTATGGTCTTCCACTAGCTCCTAAAACGACTGTCAAAACTACAGGCAAGAAAAACCACGGTATGCTACAATGTTCTTATTATTTGCTTGAAGATTCATCATTATCACTATGTTGATCTTGTTAAGATATAAGAAAAAAAAACAATTTAGATCAACTATGATTGGTCTCTTCATATCAATAATAGTTGACCTAAATAGGTGCATTTTAGTTTTATTAGTCTTTTTCTTACTGTTTGTTATATCGTACATTGGTCAGCTAGTAAAAAAATAAATATCATTTATCTAATGATAAGAAAAAGGAAGACTGTTCGCGAAAGTTAACTTCCCAATTTTTCCCAATTTTTCCCAATTTTTCATAAAGGGTGTATGTTTTTTCAACCGCCGTCGGCTAATGGACAGTATTCTTCTAATTGTATCAAGGGATTGTCTGTAATCATACTGATGGGTGTCCTTTCTTCATTTACAGATCCACTAAACAGGGCAGTGAAGATAGTCGCCCACTACATCGAAAAAGACTGGATGAAGCTGTACCGCAAACTTCCTTTCCACCCCGTGCGCGGCACAGAAATGTTAGAACAGGATCTGGACGACATCTTCCAGAAATCCGCGCGAAACACCGTCAAGGAGCTGTCCCATGAGGCTTTAGCAAAATGGCGCCGGCTCCACACGCGTGCCACGCTGGAGGAGTTGAAAGGGGCGCTGGTTGAACTCAAAAGAAAGGACGTGCTGGAGCATTTAGAGAAAGCCCATGGCGGCAGCGGAGGTGCAGCGTCTTCCAGGCGGAACAAGCCAACCATATTTAAGCCAGCGAGAGTGGCGGTGTCTCTTCCTAAGATTAAAATATCTGGCGACAAGAGCATGGTGGTGCAGAGCATCTGAATAAAAGACTGCATCATCACGTACGGCAATTACTGGATCTTTTCAGTGGCGGAAATTGTGCATTTTATAGATGCTGTGATTTTTAAGTCATAATTTCTGAAAATTAGAACGTTCCTGTTGAGTGGTAGCAACAAAATTAAAAAGCAGGGCACTCAATAGTGCTGTTTTATGTAGTAAAAGCTCCACAGATGCTAAACAGAAATATGATTTTTGTGAATACAAAATTATGTAAAGTTTGGTAATTTTTGACAACTGAAAAGATCGAGTCACTACCGAAGTATACCAGTAGCTAAAGGCAACACCATATGAAATACCATTTTTGCTTTTTTCGAAAAAAGTTAAAATATAGCATTATAGCCGCGGCGCGTGCTTGTAACCGTCTCAGTAATACTCGATACTTAATGTTAACATTCAATTCTGCTCCATCAATTTCCGTCCAAGTTACGGCGAGTAAAGGCATTCATAGATGAGGTCTTGGAAAGCGGCAATTGTTACAAGGATTTCAATTTATTATGAAGTTATATTACATGAATAAAGCGCGTCAAGACGGTGTGGAGCCGCCTAGAATTAACAAAGAAGCAATTGCAAATTTTAAAGGTCCCTCAAATGTTTTAAAAATATTTTTCATTGAGTGTTTTAATTTATTGTGACTTTACATAACAGTTGCTCACCTAATCGTTATGTTTAGAGTGCATTAATTATAAAGATTGTTGATTACATTGTGAACTGCGCCTATTTAATACAGCCAAGATCTTTACTAATAACCATTAACGTGAAATATAAACTTTTGTACGCAATATATAAATTTACAACACCTGAAGCGTTGTTTCGAATGTATTTAAGTTTTAAAGTGCAATAAACTAATTCTAACTGTTACCCGTCTGTTCTTTATTCGCGAAACTGGTCTCCCAACTTTAAAATTTACAGGAAATATCCCAAATTATTGTGTCGTATGTGCGATTGTCAACCACATGCAACCTTATTACGTCACGTATAAAACAACTTCGTCAGCTGCAACAGCGCAGACCAACATCGTCAAGGAGGGCCCCGGGGGGGATTGCATGAAAATAGGAGGGGGTAACTTTGGACGGGTACCACAGGGATCAACGTTAAAAATGCACCTGGATAATGTTTACGGTTAATGTGTGTGTGTGTGTAGGGGGGGATAACATAAAATGTAAAGTTACCCAGGCAGGCAAGTATCGTATAATAAACCCACAGAACGCCTCACCCGTATACAGTCATTTCAAATACAGAAACAAATGAGTAATAAAAAATTTATTTATTCAACTTTATATATCAAAGTAAAAAGGAAAGAACAAATAATGTGTCAAGTTTTTAACATGAAACTCAGAAAGTGTAAAACAAACAACGTCCTTGAACATTACTTGTCCCAGCTGTAGACAGCCAAACACTGTGGACAGAGGACAGTTTAGGAAATGCCCAGTTTTCAGATCACAATGTTTTTATACAATGCTCAATTTTGTGGATTGAAACCTTACAAACATCTAACCTTCCTGGCTGTCTGATGAAAACACATGCATGAAGTTCTAAAAATGGTAGTTCAAGTGCTTAACCAAAAGCCTCTCAAGCACAAAGTTTTCTCATGCATCAGCTTTGTATATGTAGTAACTGAAGCCTGTCTTGGCGACTTATCTCCCTAGCTGGTTTGTACACTGGATTTATAATATATCTGAACGTAAAAAGTGACTTAGAGAAAACTTAGAGAAGATCGTCCCTGCAATCTGACGCCTGGCGGGAAAGGACCTTAAGTATGGACTACATTGTACTAGCAACTTTCAGCTAAACCCCCTCCACGTGTAACTACATATGGCTACATATTGGCACTATTTCCCAGAACACAATAAGGTGGTAAACTGCCCATGTTAACGTCCTGAAACACGTGTTCAGCAGCTGTAGCACGAGGAATATGGCGGCTCACAGAGGCCACTGCTATCACAGGACTAGCGTATGTATTAACACTTACACAGATGATAGATGTCCATTAGTACAGAATGTTATGGCGGCTCACAGAGACCACTGCTATCACAGGACTAGCGTGTGTATTAACACTTACACAATGATAGATGTCCATCAGTACAGAATGTTATGTGAAAGGAAATTTACAGCCTTCACTATTCATCAGAACAAAAGTCTTACCACAAAATGCTACGATAATTACTTTACCAACTGTTTCATTGTTACACTGGCTAGAATAAGAATACCGCTAGTTCCTGGCAAGCAGCAATAGATGCCCCCCCCCCCCCCCCATACAGCCCCTGCACAGTGCAGGCAGAAATCACTTTACTTTGTTTACTAAACTTTATTTTGTCAGGAGAAATTATCAAAATATTTATACTTAATGTCTTCATACTATTCACCAAAACATTACTACGTAAACTAAGAATAACTAACTTCTCATGGTCATGTACAAACTATAGACACATCTATTGCATATACATTTTGATTGACAGCATTATATAAATTCACTGAAATTTTTGATTTATGGCATTTCTTTTCCCCCAGCAAATATTCTATTCTTTTGCAAAGGCACACACGCATTTGCCTGAACACACACACATATACATATACACACAATTATACACACACTCTCTCACACACACACGCACACACACACGGCACCTCTCTACATGGCAGTGTAAAGCTGGTTAACACATTTTTTCTTGCTAAAACCCATTTCATGCACACACACACACTCACACACATACACACACCAACACACACACACACACACACACACACACCAACACAGACATAAGTCTGACACTACACATACACACACACACTCACCAACACAGACATAACAGTCTGACAGTACACATACACCTATCCCTGCCCTGAAATCTTTATCCTGTTTTTGTTAAGTTTTTAAGGACTGTATTAGTCATTTATGAAAGGTTGATATCCATGGTGAAAAATTTCCTCTTCCGTCTGTGGCTTTCTGCTGTGTCTCCATTTAATGTCCACAACTGGTCAACACTGCCCACTAGAATATAGCTGTCCACTGCTGGTCAATATTGCTCTCTCTTTCTTCAGTTTTTCTTGAAACTGCAAAAGATAACGTTTGATTTAAAATTTTTAATTAGAGCTTGACAAAAATGAAAAAATAGAGTAATAGTTTAATACTTTATTTAACGAAGTTACAGCTTCCCAAATAAAACAGAAATAGTCTATCATTTAATAATTTACATCATGGATTTGGCAAATATGTCATATTGACACAAGAGCCCAAGCAACACCTACCTGTTAAGATAGGAGTTCACATCAGGGAAACCATGCTCTCGGGCAATGTGGATGAGAATACCAGTTGCACCACGGCCATTTTTCTTGCGGCAAAAACTGCAGTTGCATATTCCACGACAGGGAGGGCAGCTCCAAGCCTGGGGGTGAAAACAGGGCAGAGAATACTGATTAAGTTGAACCAGGAAATATGAAATCTTCAGGAACTAATTCAAAACTTTTTGGCTCAGACATGGAGCCTGGACTTGGAAACAATTTTGTGATGGTTACTAAAGAAGTAAGAGATAACTGACCCTCCAAACAAACAAACTTTTTACTGAAAACTGTATAAAAAGCTTTGAAAATTTCAGAGCCAGACACATTCAGTTACTTACAGGATTTTTAAGAGCTTCCTTGGCATCCTCTCCGTACCTATTCCTTAGACATGGGCCACAGAACTGAAATTAAACACAAAGCACTTTACATATGGATGTAATATACTGTAGGATGCTCTACTGATGCTCTCCGGATGATCTACGAGAGAAGTAGCCAGTCTGTTCTTAAGGGATTTTGTGTAGATTGGTTCATATTTATAAGTCTCCTTCTTTGAAAAAAAAAAAAATCTACATGTTTATCCTTCATACCTGTCCCCGCACCCCAAAACACTCTTTACTTCTACATGAGGTCTTCATGTCGCTGGTCTTCTGCCTGCATTGATGACATGAGGTCCCCTGAGATGAAAAGCATTATAATATAATATAATATAATATAATATAATATAATATAATATAATAGAAGTAATAACACAGTAGTTCCATGGCACATGTCCTCTACCTCTACTGTTGACATGAAGTGCTTTACTTGAGAAGACAGTTATAAAATGTTATAAGATGGATGGAGAAAGAAAAGGTTCACCATAAATTAACCACACCAGAAATATGAACATTTTAGATAAAATACAACAACTACCTAATGTTTTCTACATGGTAATCCTCCACAACAACAGTAATTTCCTGAACAACTCATATATGTTATTTCTCCAGTACCTTCTCCTTGCAATGAGTATGTAATTGTGATCACCAGTCTCAACTAACACAATCTCTCCTCACATATGACACCACACAGCAGGTAAATGTGCTGTCACATCACCAGTCTCAACTAGCACAATTTCTCTTTAACTGTTAAAAACATTTCCATGCATGTCTGACTTGAATAAAACCAGGGCCTTTTTAAAACAAAATCCTTACAATGTGTCACAAGGACAACATTTTGAAAACAATCCTTCCCTTCACTTCCAGATGCACTCACCTCAGCACTGTCGTATCTTTTCTCAGAAACGTGCGTTGCCACAAGTTCTAGGTCTTCCTCAGTGACTTCGTCCGCTGGTTTGATGTACCTCACACCAGATGGCGCACGTGGCTTTCTCTTGGACGGAGTAAGACGAGTGTATTCTTCCTGAAAATATAACCAAATTAATGGGATATCAACTGTTCATGTAAGCTTCATATTTCACAATTAGTACATTGTATACAAGTTTTACAACACAGAGAAATATAATTTATTCCATTTTACCACCAAAACAGGGATTATCCCAATTATTATTGAACCTGTGCTTGCCATCAGACCATAAGCACCTTCATAGATGGCTATACCTTTTGTTATAATCTCTTTACCTAACTTTTAACAAAAATACATAGACTTTCTTTGAATGTTGGCACGAATACATTACCCACTGGTAAGTATGGAGGAATTATAGTTTACCACAGGAAAATCCTTTTTTTTAATCAAAACAAACAGTTGTTATCCCTGTCAGATTGCTGCTGGCCACAATACACTGGTTAATTTTAAATGATTTTCTTTTCTATTCAGAAGATTACCACTGAACATATCTGAAGGTGTGATTATTGCCTCCACACACGAGGTGTATTGTATATAAACCCAACTCCTCTCCTCCTACCTCTTCTTCTTCTTCTTCTTCCCATGATTCCACTGAGTAACTGTCATCATCATCGCTGTCTTCAGTCTTCCGCTTCTTGTTGAAGAAAGCGCCAAACTTCACCACTAGTTTCTAGTAGTACACAAAGATCATGGAGAATTAAGTGATTTACTTTGTATTTCAAGTCAAAGACAGCACTATTCTAAAGCTAGTGTATGAACGTTAAAGGACAGAATTATTCAAAAGATTAAATTCATTTCACGGTGCTTTCTGAAGTAATCTACTTGTAGAAACCATCCGTTTCCATACATGTTTTTAAAAATATTTATTACAGTGTGAAAGTGCAAGTAGTATAAATTTTGTGGCAAGGCACCATGACAGATTCAATCTTTAAAAAAAAAAGTCCACTTTAATTTAGTGAAATCTGAATCACAGCCATTTATTGTTAGTTTGCTCATTAGTGTCATATTTAAATCAACAGTTCCTATCTATGAGGACAGCTGTCAACTCACCCCAGGACTTTGAACTGGTGTAGAAGCATTGCTGCTTCCGCTGTGACAACTAGAGCTGACAGAACTCCTGCGATGGCGCGTGCGCGGAGGACTGTAGTCCATTGGAGTGTACCTGGCACGTCTTGACGGGTTGCGTCGCATCACCTGACCTCCTGATGGACGACGGTCTTTACTTACATGAGATCTCTGCAGACAAATATAAATATTATAATAGTAATATAAAATAAATATAATAATAGTAAGATAAAAGTTGGCATGTTTCTATAGGTTTTTTGGTCTTACTAATTCTGGAAGTAACTTCAATTCTGTGCTTAAGAAAAGTAGTTTGCTGTCTGCCATCTGTATTTTTATAATATTAAATATTTGAATTATAATACAATATAATTAAATATTATAATTTAAATATTTAAATATTATATTATTCTTGGTATAATATAATATTTAAATATTATATTATACCAAGAATACTGAAAATATTTTCAAGTGAAAATATTTGAGTTAACAGCAGCTAGACAAATTTTATCATCTTATTTGAAAAAAGAAATAATAATAATAGTCATAACAAATTCATGTTACATCTTAATCATCTGTGAAAATAAAACCCAAATTCATATTTGTCAAATGAACTGCAGAAAACTGTCCTAAGAAGCAGTGAGGAGAATATTTCTGAGCTCTTTATAAAATATGACCTATCAGGTGACCAACTCACTTTAGGAGGAGACTGGAGCGAAACTGGCATCATTTCCTTCAGGTCTGCCATCATCTTAGCCAGCTGAAAGAAATTACATTACATTACATTACATTACATTACATTACATTATATTACATAACATTACATTACATTACATCATATTATATTACTGTGGAGCAGATTCCAACGAAGAAATCAGATGGTGCAATATCCATCTTATCAAACATGTTTTATCCAAAAAAAAAAAATAAATAAATAAATTAATAAATAAATAAATAAATAATAATAAATATATAAATAATAAATAAAGAAAAAAATAAAGAAAATCATTATTCCATTTTTATTCAGTTTCAAAATATTCACTCTGCTATACAACAATGTCAGATGTTTTAAAATGAGTCAAAAGGCACCTAGTCTGATGAAATCTTGTTGACGGTGGACATTTTCAGTCAATTTTAATAAAGGATCGAATTACAGAAAATTAATTGAAAAACAATATAAACTGTAAGCTATAGTCACCTAGATCTGCTTTGATATCTTTGTTAAAAAAAGAAAGGAAAAAAAACAGAAGGCAAATACACAAACAAAATTTTCAACATTTTTCTTAGGTCCACCATCTCTGTGACAAATTAAAAAAATTGAATCAAAATGCTTTAATCAAAATGCTTTAAATAGCAGACTCACCACTGCCTTGTTGTCTTCAATGTTTTTCAGTCGGCGCTTTTCATATTCACTTTTCTCCTTGGGTGCCATTGTAAACAACTCTCACTTTGAAAATTAATCAGATAAATATTTAAAATAAACAGTAGAGATCACCATTTATCTTTTGGTAAGTTTTCTTTTTTTAAACAAATTCATTCTTAAATAAATAAAATTTAATTTTCATAAAATATTTCTAAAATACAAGATGACATGAATAAATTTTTAGAAGATTTAGGAGGAGATAGGTTAAAAACATTTTCCACGGCTATCAAAAAGTAAGTGACAATTCAAATTAGGTGTCACCAGTGATGAGCGAGAAGAGGTCGTCCTATTTTTCCCGCCATTGTCGGCCCATGTGATAATTTTCCCGCCAGAGTAAAAACTAATGGTCAATATTATTTCTGGGAAAACCTGTATTATGATTGACTATTTGTAGGTTTGATTTTGAAAATGGTTGCTTTTATTTTAGAGGTATCGTCAGATCAAGCTCAGCAACTCAAAGCCACAAAACCTTACTACTCAGCAAGCCAAGAGATCACGTCGACTGCATTCCACGACAAAAGATAGCGACAGTCAGCAAATCAAATATTTCTCAAATATTACATTTTAAAATCTTGCCCAAATGCACCTAAATACCACAAATAACCCATATGACACATATAATTTCGCACTACAAAAATCGCAAGTAAAACTCACCAAGAAATCTGACAAAATACTCCGGATAGCAACAGACTTCTAGCTTCTTTTCGCGGCCTTTAAATCTTCCCGTGATGCATCACACTGTCAACATCCGGTGGATGACTTCCGTTTCCGTTCTGTGATAACATGTGTGCGGCGTAGCACAAACCTGACATAATTTCACGTATGTTACGTAGATTATTGCGGCAAACCAGTTTAGCGGTGCGTGAGATATCTAAGCGAACAATGGCAGACAAAGTACTCGATGTTTCTGGTAGGTACAGGACGCTGTTTGTGAAATGTGAACTTTACAAATTGCAGAATGCACTGCAGCCATCAATGTTGATTACCAGGGACTTAAAATGAAGGCGGAAAATATTGGTGCTGGTGACTAAGTGATGGTGTTTGTTCTGACTGTGCTACACACTTGTACTGATGTACAGTACAACAAAGTTTAATTGCAAAGCACAGCAAACTGTAATTACTCGGGGCAATATGACAACTACCACTGGTCAGTTAGCCTTAGATGACATTGTTAGGTATATCAGAAAATTTTCCAAACTGATCAGAAAATTATAATACTTATATCATCTGAAAGGTAATGCAAAAAACCGGATGAAATCATTTGGAATTTTTTTAAATATTCCTACAAGCAACAAAGATATTGAAGTTTTTTAACTGCAAAAATTCACCAAATGTGCCCACACTCTTCAGCTAAAAACCTGTCACTACTGACCAGCGGTGATCACTCAGCTGTAGCTGCAGCTCAATTTCTTGTGACCAATTAGGGCAATTAGGGCTTTATGTTAATCTAATGACCGGAATCAAACCCAAAGTGGCAACCGCACAAGCACATGGCTGGGATGGCTTCCGTGCAGATCATGTACAATAAATATTGCACATCAAATAAACTATACTTCACATATGGTTTAATTTTCATGATTTTTCTAGATAATATTGCAAATTTCATAAACTTTATTCATTATAAATTTCAAAAAATTCCAACTAGTACTTAACTGACATTTTTGAGCATTTTGTCGAGGCAAAACTTCAAACGCCCTGAACTGAAACTTCTCAAAGACTGCAACACGGGAAAATCACGTGACCGGATTTTACTCTTTGATTAACAGCTTATTTAGTTGATGGCTTGTATTATTTTTTTTT